GATGATTGAACTGGTCTATGCCCAAAGATGAAAAGGACAACAAATATTGTTAATGTTGATTAGATTTCTTCTCTCACATGGAATTAGGCAAAACATAACTTTTTTCCAAGAACATAATGACATGGCTTCAATTACTGTGCTAAACAATTTCTGTTACTTTATGGGACACTCTTCAAATCATACATGAAGGCTATTAAACTAACACATTAATTGAGTAATTGTATTTATTTTGAAGATTTATTTCCCTATGTTTAAACAAAACATTAACACAATAAGGAATTTATGATGCGACTATGAGCATTTCATGTGAGCATAAGCTGCACTGCTTATACTAAAAAGATAAGCAAAAAAATTTTACTCTTGAGTAAAATGGCACTGAGCCCCAGTGGGATCTGAACCTAGAACAACCACCATGCTACTGCGCTTGCAAACTTCAGGCAAAAGCTGGCTGGAAGCCCTCCTTCTTCCCAGCATTTTTAGATGGAGGGACAAGTAATCATGTGCATGTGTGTATGAAAAGCTTGCCGAGATGACAGGCTAGCCACAATGCCAAAATCAAGGTCATTAAAGATACTGCATATGGAAAGGGTCACTTTGCTAGGAACAGACCAATTACCAGTGAGCACATATAATGACTATTCAGAATATCAAAGCAGCTTGCCACACTGCTTTCATCTGCCAGCAGACAAATGCCTATACAAGAATGTTGCAGCTGTCAAGGGAATATTTGACTCAGTGTGTCTTGGAACAGGTTCTGTAGGCAGTCTGGCCTCTGTCCTGAGATATTGGAGAGGACAATTCCACAAAATGACAATGTACGAGACCACAAAAATTCAAACCATAGCCTTGATATTACAAGAATCCTAGTTGATTTCAGCTGTTACAACAGAAAGAACCAGTTATTATAGAAAAATGTCTCACTGACCAAAATTAAGTTTTTTCTCCCTTTTCCCTCTGCAGTGTTTATCCCATAACTCTCTAAAGGAAAACATACATACAGGCTGTTGAACAAAGACGCACATCTAGAATTCTCTGCCTCTCAGCACTGCAGTATGGATAGAGACTTCTTTATTCTGACTGCGACCTTAAGAGAGATGCATATACAACAATGGAGTCATCCGACTCCTGTGAAACTCGAGCAGATTAACAAGTCACAGAAAGATAAAAATAAAATATTTATTTTTTTAAAAGCTACATTGTCAGGCATAACAGCATTCAAAGAAACTAATTCTTGAAACTGCAAGGTTGTCCACAGCTAGTAGAAATCAGTTTAACAATAAAATCTTTCCTGCTATGAATAGAGAGCTATCAGAAGTCACCTAGCATTTTTAAATGGGAGTTTTTAGTGCAGGTAGTGCCTTTATCCTATACTCTCAGGTACACACTACAATTCTAAAAACAGTACAGAAAATAATCATCATCGTCCCCCATTCATTCATTCCTAATTCTCACCATAAAGAAGCTGCAATAACTGATAGTGGAAATTGCTGCAGTTCCTCAGGA